ATTGTGCCGATTTGTTGGAATTCGACACACATTCTCTCATTTACTGTGCTTGTGTGGACGCTGGCGTGGTCACCAATAGACTCAGGGAAAGGACAAACCCTTGCCCAGCGTTGAAGACGCTTAAACAGGTCAGGTCAGGTCTCAAGACCCTTGACCACACATTTCGCTGATCCTCAGCAATCACGGAAGGAGCTTCGCTACTTCGGTGACATGATCCATTGACCACTTACGTGGCAAACACTCGTTCTCACGACACGTGTGACACTCCCTTGAACGAGGCCTTCGAACCGCGTTCTCGGCGCCCGCCAGTCGACCGAGGCGCCTCTCGCGGCACGTGGCGCGTCTGGCGCGTCTGGCGCTCGGAAGTCACGGCGCTAGGAGTGCACTCAGTGCACTCCAAGCGACGTGTTGAGCGAGTCCATTTCAGCGCTGTAACACGGTCCGAATTTCGGGGTGTCGTGGCAGCCATGCCGCTAACAGCTTGAGCCTTGCCGAATTCCCGGTCTTCGTCCCAGCCGCTGTTGGCCGTTCTTCGATCGCGCAGTGTCCATTTTGCATGGCTTGGGGAAATGGCTTGTGTAGCTGAACTAGGGTGACCGATCCCCGTGAACGACCCCCTGAATAATGAATTCGGAAAATAGACCAGTCTACCCAGCCAGGGGCGAGATTTCGGGGGTCTCCCTATTAATATACACAAGTGAACGTAGAATACTTGCGCCAGTCTTGTTGCCTGTGCGCCTTTGTGTGCCTATCTCATCAGCCCTACTTAGCTAAGCGAATTGAAATCCATGCTCCGTCCGGCCACTGTTGTGAGGTCTGACGTCACCTTTCTCCTGCCTGTAAAAAAAGCAGGTGAGACATGGTGAGACCTACATGAATCCATCAAAATCCGGCTAAAAGATGCTTATCAAGGATAAGCTTCGAACTTCAACTCTGCGATTCCCATTTGATCTCCATCCACCTAAACTTGGCCTCGGGCTCCACCACGGCTGCAAAGCTGGCTGCGCAGCGCCGATAGGCGCGGCCGATAGGTTTTTGGACATCCTCAACAACAGCAAGAATTGCTCAGCTTCTTTGCATTTTGCAAAGGCGTAGGTTGCCAAGCAGTGACGCAGACCTTTAAGGATACCTGGCTACTACGCAAAGACAGTGTCCAAGTTGTGTTGCAGCAGAAGCTGATAGCTTTTGCGCCTGGCAACGGGCTGAAGCCCCATAAGACAAGACTGGCACATCGCGTGGAGCAAAATGTCTTGCGCTTGTACAGCATGCTGGTGTGTGTGTGTCCCACCCTGTACCAAAGGGTCCCACTCGGTTCAGGTTTTGCTTCCAGCAGGGGGATGCCAGGGATTTCCATGGTCGGCATCCAACGAAGACACCATGGATTTCCTGTGATTTGAGAATCTTCCGAAAAGGCCTACTGCAGCCGCCATGTCGAATTTTTGTTGCGGCTGAAGTTCAAACATGTTCAATTGCGTTGACCTTTCACTCTACTGTTCCATCGAGTCAAGGGCCTTGCACCGCGGACCATCTTTTGGATTATCGTTCGTAATGAACCTCTATCGAAGTGTGTTCTGCTACGCTTTCCCCCTTGGGCATAGTGTGACCCCCCGCAAGGGGCGCTGAGACCATCGGGACGCTCCATACTCAAGAAGCTTTCTGATTGCTTAGCGCATTTTTCACGGATCAACTGCTTTTGAGCCTCCGGGCCTTCGGAGAATACCATTTCCGCAACTGCAAGAATGCAATTACCTTCCGAGCTGTTTCCAAATTCCTCCATTGCTTTTTTTTAGCAATCGTAAAGCTGCTGCAGTTTCAGAATTCAGCACGTTCACGTTTTTCCAGGGAATCTTCGACTTGAGATGCGCATGCCACTATACCGATCTTTCTCTCTTGTCTTTTTGCTCTTTCGGTCTTTTTCTTTCGTCAGGTTTTTGACACCGTAATTTGCCGTTGCCTCGGCACCTTTGCTCGCCCGATGTCACTACACCTATCTTTCTCTCTTGCCCTCTTCCTTTGCTCTTTCTCTCCTCTTTCTCTCTTCTTCTACAGGCTTTTTTAGGTGGCTATTCAAGTATCTGAGATTGGAGCGCCGCACTGCGCCGTGTGCGTGTGTGTGTCCCACCCTGTACCAAAGGGTCCCACTCGGTTCAGGCTTTGCTTGCCAGGAATTTCCATGGTCGGCACGCAACGGAGACGCCATGGATTTCCTGTGATATGAGCCAAGGACGTTTGACTCACATACGTTCTCAAGCTGTTCACCCCAATCTTCCGTAAAGGTCTACTGCAGCCGCCATGTCGAATTTTTGTTGCCGCTGATGTTCAAAAAAAATTCATTTGCGCTGACCTTTCACTTTACCGTTCCATCGAGTCAAGGGCCTTGCACCGCGTACCATGTTTTGGATTATCGTTCGGAATGAACCTCTATCGAAGTGTGTCACCGCCTGTTTCAAAGGAATGACCGCACTTGTACTGTATGCAGGGGATGCCCCACACCTGCAGAGAGGGCATCTAACACTTCAGGTTGTGCTGATATCAGCAAGAACGCTTATACTGAGTACCTGCACCAATTTTCAAGTATATCGTAAAGGGCTAATGCGTGTTGTTGAAACCTTCTGGTTGATTGACCCAGCACTTTTTGTTGCTGTTGAATGAAGTCAAGCGCTAAGTATTCACCTAAAGTGCTAGCTTCACATGGAAGTCAAAACTGATATAGCTCTTGCGAGCATGGATCTCAGTGTGTCCACGTCAGTGCTTGGTTGTTTTGCTCGTTTCTCTCCTGGCCAGCTGTTTGCTCGAGATCGCTGATACCAAGCTGCAGAACGTACTGAATCCACCTCAGAGAATGACATGCCTTTCACTCGTCTAAGTATTCTTTTGCAGAGACCATGCTGCTAAGTATTCAGTGCTGTCTTACTTTTCCTCCTTCGGTTTCTCTTCGTTTTCTAGGTCTTTCTTCGTTTCTAAGGGCTTTGTATGTGTAACTGGTGCTTTTTAGAGAAGGGAGCGCCGGTTTTGGCGTTCTGGTCAAATGCCTTCGGGCCTGAGCCGGTCACCCCACTCCACCGCACACACACCCCTGCACCCCCTTTCTTCCCTTGCCTTTTTCGTTTGTTTGGTCTTTCCTTCAAGCTTGTTAGGTCGACTTTTAGGCTTGTTTAGTCATTGCACACCCCCACAACCCCCCCGCGCTTTCTTTCTTTCCTGCTGTTGTTTCTCTTTGTTGGTTTTTCATGGTTTTTCGTTCTAAAGGTTTTTTTAGGTTTGTAACCAGGTTCAGTCAAGTGCCCGCCATTGTTCACCAGAGCGCCGAATTCGGCATCTTGATTGTGTGTGGCACCTCCTGTTTCAAAGGAATGACCACACTTGTACTGTATGCAGGGGGATGCCCCACACCGGAAGAGAGGGCATCTAACAAAGAAACTCTTCAGGTTGTGCTGATATCGGCAAGGACGCTTATACTGACGTACCTGCATCAATTTTCAAATATATCGTAAAGGGCTAATGCGTGTTGTTGAAACCTTCTGGTTGATTGACCCAGCACTTTTTGTTGCTGTTGAATGAAGTCAAGCGCTAAGTATTCACCTAAAGTGCTAGCTTCACATGGAAGTCATAACTGATATAGCTCTTGCGGGCACGGATTTGATGTAAGCGTGTGTTGTAGGCACAAATAAAAATAGACCATAACATAGCACTCAAATAATAAACCATAACACAGCACTCAAATGTCGGACACGTCGACCTGAGTGATGAGATGAGTCGGTGAGTCGGCACGGCGCAGCCTCCTCTCCTCCGGGTTTGTTGGTGTTTGAGGGTCTCTCGACCAGGTGCTCGGCAGTGCTCCGCTTCTCCCTGTGGAGATCAACTTCCATCGACGCTTGGCCACCCTGGGTTTAGTCGACACCTCTCCCGCTTCTTCAGCCCGGATGCAAGCCAGGGATACAAGAAACTGATTGAGGACCTTCAGTCCCTGACCTGTTTGGAGTGTCTAAGTGACCTCTTCAGGGACCAAGTGACCTCAATCTGAGATCTCAAGTTCGGTCACGTTGAAGGTCCTGGCAGTCCAGATCTCGATGTACTGAACGTGTCTTGGACATAATATGAGAAGGAAGGGGACTCTTCACTGGGCTATTGAGAGGAGAGACATGGAAAGACCCGAACCAGAGAATCTTTGCCACAACCAGAGGAAGTAGGATATAGGAAGACTCTCACGAAGCACTAATCTGACCTGAAATGTTCATCACCGTCGGAGGCGACTCGACGACCCACTCCACTGAGGTGATGAAGCGCCATGTTTTAACCATCCCACAACGCAAAAACCAATGAATCCGGACAATGAGCCGAAACCACCAATGGTTCCATGGTTTCGTGGAGTTCATCCCGTGCTTGGTCAGTCTTCCTTCATGATCATCCGAGTCGACTCGGGGCACCGTCCACTTCGATGGAGCGAGTGTATCAATCAGCCCTCACAACAGATGCTTTCAAGGATCGTGCGTCGCTGTGGCCGTTGCGGCGGCAAACGCAGGCTCGGTCGACGGAGATCACCCGGGCATGACCCAGTGGGACCATATTTGGGGAGGTTAGTGAGCCCAAATACTTTGGCAAATCAACTGACCCATATTAGCCCTGCGGACTTGGGTGCATGTATGTGCATCTATTATTGCATGTGTGCTTTTTTTTTGCACCTCGAAGGGGGATCTTTCTTTCAGATTTTTACAGAACCTGTTTGGTTGCTGCTGTGGCTCAAGGTGGTCTGCCTCGAGGGGAGGTGACAGAACGCCACACCCATCGATCGTCGCCTCATCGCCTTGCCTCGCCATGGACGAGAGCGATGATCTCTTCTTGGACGAGGGTCCGGCCGAACGCCGTAGACAGGAAAAGATGCACTTTGGAAGCCGATTCTGAAGAAGATGGACACATTCACTCGATACACTGCACTGTACAATCACTTTGTAAAGAAACGTAATTACATGGTTCATACGTGGATTGCTGATGGAGACATTGGACGAAAAGCGACAAAGTCACTGGCAGTTAGCAGTTGCACTGTCCAGATCGCATCGATTTCCAGATCCCATCACTCTTCTTGGTGAACTTTGTTCTTGGCTTATCACAGCTCATGCCGAGCTTAGGCATCGCAGAGCCTACTTGGAGCTTTTCTTGAAAACGCACGGGTTTAAAGATGTGCATCGTGCTCGGCCAGGGCAGGGTTTCTTGGAACGAACTGCTTAGGCCCACGACAGCCAGAGAATGTGTTCGGAACATATATTGTTCAGGCTGTTCTCCAGCTGTGCCAGACGGACATAAAAGAGACAAACACAAGCTGCTTGTGTTTGTCTCTTCCTTGTCCTCTTAAGCCCGGAGAATTCATGGATTTCACAACTGGAGACAGTTCATGACGCAGGTGACGGTTGCTCGGTTGGACGTTTTGCTGTTCACCCTTTGGCGACCTGGAATCCCTCAGGTTGCCTTTCGAACCGTGAATCCGTCTACCCGATCCATGTCGCTGCCAAGTATGCTGATGTGGAACCTTGCTCGGAGAATCGGGGCGAATGGTCACCTGCAAGACGGGATGCGAGTGGTTGGACGTTGGATCCATGGTATGCTTTGTTCTTCAATCCTAGCGGTCGCTGGTGTTCTTAAGCAGCTTGAGATAGACCCTTCCACCCTTCCACCCTTTCCTAGTCAACTGATTCATGGCTTTTGAAGATTGCTCAATTCAATACATATGCCACATGTTTAAGCAAAAGGAGTGTCTAGAGGTGAAGACAGTTCAGGGAGCGCTTCTTTAAAGCTTATTAGATCCTGATAGTCTTCCAGGCCCCGTAACTCGGGCGGAGCTTACGCCCGAGTAGAGAGTTCCCATGACCCCCGACGTTTTGATATTGAAGTCGGACCATAAATACAGGTCAATTCAGGTACTTGGAGCTTAAGTTCTTGGAGGTGCTTGGAGGTCATTCAGCTTCTAGCTAGCTAGATATGTAGTGTGACTGGAAGAAAGCTCAATAAAGTACAAGTTTAGAGACTGGTGATGCCATACCACGTCATACCCCTCAATCCGGGTCAGGGGGCCGCCGGAATACAATCCATCTACAGAGGAGGCTTAGTTCATGACTTGGATGGAAAGTGGGTAGCAATATGTGCATGATGAAGCTTTGGCCTTGGAATTTCCTTGAGAGTTAAACTCCTGGTAGCCCTGACACCAGGCAAACAGATACTCTTTCACTTTTTTGGGGTTGAGCAACCTGCCCAGCGGCTGAAAAAGTGGAACAAAAACAAAATAAGCAGAGATACCATCTCAGGAGTTGCTACGGATGCTCTTGGCGAAGAAGGTCGACCTTTTCAAGGAGACCTCCGCTGGCCGCACCGCCTACGAGATCGCGGCGCAAGCCAATCGACAGGGCTCACACGACGAGGCTCTGCGAAGAACGGGTCGAAGAAGACCCTAAAGCGAAGATGACAAGATGACGGGTGCCACCAAAAGAAGCACACATGGTATCCGAAAGCTTTTGGGGTGGTTGTTTCAAGATCACCTTGATAAAAAGGGTTTCCAAACTGGAACCTGGTCTTCGAAATCCCGCCTTGGGCGGGTGTATCAACCCTCTGTGATGCGAAGGCGTGAAGAGGGTCACCCGGGTGACCCTTCCGCTGCACATGGCGAAGAGGTGCTTCACTATCTCGGCGAAGAGGTGAAAGTCCTAACAATGCGAGAGGCCATCCAAGTGATGATTCTTGGGATTGGACATCCAGACCGAACCTGGAGTTCTTGTGGTGCATCTTTGAATCCATAGGGTTTAGGGTGTTCACCTGCGACCCAAATATACCCAAACTCCTCAATGTCAAAGCACCTCAATACGTGGGGTGCTAATATATATATATATATATTATACTGATTCTCCAATTGGTCAAATTTAGATGTTGTGCCGGCCATTTCTGTCAGAGGTAGTCAGCGGCTTACCCAAACTCCTCACTGCAGTCACTGGACACGGGACTTTTGTTCTTCCTGCTGGTTCCATCAGCCCGGTCGAAACGGACCATTTGGCTGATGGAACCAACAGTTGAAACAACAAGCCAACTGAGACTAAGATGTTGATGAAAAGTAGGACAGGTGGATCGAGCCCGCATCCTCAGAAGCTAGTTAGACCCTCCAAATCCACCCCCACCACCCCCACCACCTAAGGATGTGGTTGGAGCTCACTTTGGAGGGGTACTGCAGTAACCCCTTTTGTCGCTCTTGACATCTCCCACCAAGGAAGCACAGGTGCAAGGGCACTTCTGAAGCTCTATCCGAAGAGAAGCCGCTGGCGCTTGGAAGTTCAACTTCGTCCCCGTCATCTGAAGAGAAGTCACCTGAAGAGATCCTACCCATTGCACTCTCAGGGGAAGAGATTCGTTCCATCTGAGCATCAGCTGGCCGCGGCCGTGGGATCTGAGCCCTGGATCTCCGGCCAGCTCGAGGAGAAGTGGAGTTGAAGAATCTTTGAAGACAATTTGGTTGGATTTTTGAGTTGGTTGGGGACTGAAGGAGTCCAGCTCGATTGCTCCGCCTGAAACGGACCACTTGGGTTCACAAGTAGGCAGTTTCAAAGCTCTGTCAGCGTCGTTTCCTGGATGTTCGGCTTATTTGCATTTAGTAACTCATGTCTTGCCAGGAAGACTCTTAGGCTGCATGACAAGGAAGCTTGTCAAGCAGAGACTGCATGGAAAAAAGAGGCAGAATCGGACCCCTCGCGCGATGAGAAGTGGAGCCGGTGCTTTACTAGTAGTAACAAGTGCCACGCTACTAGAAACTAGTGCATCGCTACTAGTAACAAGTGCATCGCTTCTAGTAACAAGTGCCTTACTAGTAGTAACAATGTCCTTGCAGACACTTCACATTCGAAACAGGTCAAAACCGTCGTCCAGACAGGTCGGTCAAGCACGTGTCTTGCGGTCGGAGGGTCTCCGGTTGCCGACCCGGTTTTCTCTTCGCTGTGTCACAAGGGTCCAGGAGGTGTTCGAGACTCAGCGCTCTGCCTGCGAAGCACAGGCGAAACACCTCGAGCTTCATGTTCGGAATGGACCAGAGTAGTAGGCTGTGCCCAAACAGGAAGCCGCTTCAGCCGTCGCCATGCAACGCGCACTCAATAATCCTCGTTTCGGTTGGGTGAAGGTCGTCAGGGTTACCAGAGTCGCTAGATACCCTGCAGTTCGTTCCTCTGTCATTAATCTTGACAACTTCTTTGACTAGACATAAAGCTTGCATGAGTTTCTTCGATGAGATGAAACGTAACAGAGCTCGTTTGCCCCCAAATATTTCCCCAGTCAAGCGCTTTTGTGCATCAAGATTGGTCCTTTCAGTGTTGAAATCGCTGCCTTGAGAGCGAAGCTGCAGTCATTTGGGCAAAAAAAAGGAGAGTCACATGGAAGATTCCGCAAGCCTATGGCCTATAGCCTATGGCTCAACATGACTCCAAAAAAAGCGTGAAACCCGACAGATGACCGATACATTCCCAGACCATCCATGGGACTGGAATAGTTGTACATGTTACGCCATTTATGACCCCAATGTAGGTATAACTATTCCAGACATGGGTGCTTTGGGATTGAACAGACGGCCAGGTGGTTTTGTAGTTTCTAGAATTCACTCCCACTGACCGCTTGGAGAGCCCATTGGGCACCAAAAAGATGAAACAAGTTCATGAAAGAACTCAGTCAGCCGTTAGAGGTCTTCATCATAAGGAGAGTTGATCGACAATTCGACAATTGATGTTGAACAGGATCAGCTACAATATATGGATTCGGTAGTGTGTTTGCTTTATTCCAGTCCAACTATACTGAGTCTCAACTTCGGACCTTTATTCAGAGATGTGTAAGCAGAGTACGAAATCGATCAGAGAAGAGAAGACACATGGGCCATGTCACATTGGTTTGAGGGCTCCTGGCCCTACTACTAGGGGCTCCTGGCTACTAGTGCCACTCGTTTCACTCGTTTCCACGGTGTGGCGGACACCGACCGCACCGTGATGGCTGCACCCATCGGACGACGGAGCGAGGAGGATCTACCGTGGCTCGGAGCGCGGTTTCGGCGGTTTGAAGTGCGTGTCACATCCTGTTTGGGAAGAAGTGACCGCCCCTGCAAAAAGCATTCGAAGTGGGTGAACTCCGTCTCTCCAGTGGCCAGGACTTAGCCACTTCCGAACGGTGGAGAGAGGGCATACGATGGGTCAACCAACGTCCGGGCCTGTCATAGAAACGTCGATCCCCACGAAACTCTTATTGGGTGGGGCTCCTACTTCTGGAAGGGACCTCATTTTACTGGAATTGGATCATGTAAGACACCTACGAAATCAGATAAGAACATGAGGTGTTCAGATTTGGACCTGGGTCGGGATCAGTGATCATTGAACATGATTCGATGTCCCGATCCGATCGGAGATGCCCCGACCGGTCTGCCATCCATTTTCAGTCTAAAGATTCCAATCCCAGACACGACGTCGATGGAACTGGAGTCTTAGGCAGATACATTCCCTTTGAAAACGCTCCCCC